AGCTGGATCAAGATGTGATTATTTTGTGTTTCCAGTAGAAAACAAAGTCCTGAAAAAGACCTGGAAAAAGCTCCAAAGCCAAAACACTGCCTCTGCTTACTTTTCCCTTCAACATGGAATAAGCCTTTACCTGTTCTAAAAAAGTATAATCAACTTGTAACTTTCATTGACTATTTTATCCTCCTTTGTCACCTCCTTGTGGATAAGAAGAAATTATTTCTACTCTGTAGGTCCTTATGCCCCAGTGGCTAATGTGCTGTTTCTAATGCAACTACTGTTCATATTATCCATATCTTGGGGCTAGATAAGATTCTACTGCATAATGTCCTCAGTGCTCGCTCGCTGGAACAATTCAATGTGAAACAATGTCACAGAACAGTTACATGTGCATAAACTCCTTATCACCTTGACTAAAAAGTGAATTTGCACATTCCTTCTACCAGACTTTTAGACTTGTTTGAAAAAAGTGCTGATAGTATACGTTTGCATTATTTAGCAGTACGTTTCATGTTTCCTGCATCCAAAACCTAACCTGCTTGAATGGCTCAGCTAGCCAAGTTATTCTGAAACCAAAGCGACACACCGGTTACGTTATTACACAAAACACACATTGGGAAGGTTGTGTCATAATGTAACCAGTAGTATCTAGTCTTCTTTGGGATGAGTTCTGATCATGCTGAGTTGAATTAGTGTTTATTAAAACAATGCCTAGCGTGTACCTTGATGTGTTTTTTACAGGCTACAGAACATTAACATTACATTTACATTACATTTAAGCCGAATGAGTTGGACTAGGACAGACTGGCACTGGTGTTAACACAATGGTGGTCTGACTGAACGTGAAACAGACATGAAGCAGCTGAGAGTTAAAAAGAGACTGAAAAAAGAACAGTATTGGATCTGCGCATTACTAGTAAGACACTCCCTTTGTGTCAGCTGTAGACTATTTTTGCCTCCTTGATGGATTTGTAAATCGATCAACTCGTCCGCCCAATCCCAGTTTATGGCTCTACAGCACGTCACCTCAGTGTATACCAAGTACATCTGATTAGGTCATCTTCGCTATTAAACTTTCAAAAGCAGCAATTTCCAGTTTGTATGTTTCGGTATTCATAGCTCAGTTGTGGGATAATCCCTTTGCAGAGCAAATGTAATCTTCTATGCCGGCATGCTCTATCAACTGCATAAGGGCAAGCCACTCAAGTCCTGTTTGAATAGCACTGCAGGATGGATCAGCGTTCCCATTGAATTCTATTGCTCATCTGCTCACTACAGTGTCAAGCAGAAGAGTTGCTGTGTCCCAGCACAAAAAAAAGCTGTTCTAGAAATGTGCCGGTTATTGGCTGACACCAAAAGGATCTTTAAATTGTCGGTAACAATTTTTGCTTCATATTACAGGCTCAGCGCCTATCATGCACTGAAGCAGGAGCAGTCTAATGCATGATTTAGCATTGCATGGCCCTTTTCAATGATCACCACATGAAATATTGCAGACAGTCTGTGGTTCATATGAACCATGGCAATTCATGCCCTTTAATCCTGTAATCCACTCTCAGTCAGCCTATATATTCTGCTCCAGTTGAATCTCAGCCAAAGACTTGCAGCAGAAAAACTAGATGTACTGTAAACATGCTCAGTGGAATGGAAATGTTATTATTCTCTGCTTTTAAGTAGAGAAAATATTGTACCTACCTCTCTGGTACTTTCCTATCACTCTTAAAGGCCTTATCTTAGTATTAGTACAAGACGATTATTTCC